CTCCTTTTCCTGGAGGCCAGGGAGGGGCCGCTGGGGCTCAACGGGCTGCCGCAGGGGTTGCAAAGCGCCATTTAAAGCGGGACTCTCCAACGCTGCCTCCTGCCAGACTCTCCCCTTTTCAGGTGCCCCCTAAACCGGCAGCCTGACCCCTGGGTCCCTATTTTCATGGACTCTCAGAAGCCTCTGCCCTGCAGGGCCCCCCCCCGTTTTCCCCGTCCAGGAGCCTCTGCCTGCCCCATCTAGTTCCTTGCCGCATCCTTCCCAGCTAGCAGCCTTCGCCTAGGAAGGTAGCGCTCAGAATGCTCCAGTGGGGGTGCATCTTCCCTTCTGAGGGGTAGCCCTGGCTCCCACATTGGGTGGTTTTGACTAGAGATCCTGCAGCTCCCACCTCCTCTCCTAGCCAAGCTCAAGTCAGCATCCTCTCTGCTCCCTTGCTGCCTTGTCTGGGAAAGGGCTGGGACCTTCAGTCTCCTAATCTTCAGTGGAGCATTCTGGCAGGGGTTTCACTCTTGTGTTGAGAGGGGGTAATGGACTCCCAGCCTGTTACCTCCTATGTGGACAGTATCCTTAGCTGTGGGGCCACCCCATATAGCGGTCTCAGGCATTGCCAGGACAGGAAGTGGCAGTCATTAGGCCTCCACTCACAGCTGGCCTAGGGGGTTCTAGCATCTAAGCCTTCATTATGCCCATATATCTGCCTCCCTATAGTCAATGCCTCAGGGACCTCCTTCCCCCCTTCCCCCCCCAAGGAGCATGGTAATAACCCTTTACTGTGGCACTGGCTGAAGGGCTCTGGCAGTAGAATAGTGACACTACTGCCCCCCCACACTTGCTTGGCTCTTTGTTGCCCGTGAACAAGTCAACCTGGACTATTGCCAACAGGAATCCAACAGAAAAGTGAGTTATACAGCACTTTTTTTTAAGAAGGCAAGCACAGGGTGACAGGTCCATCTCGTTTCCTGGCTAGTCCCTAGTGGAGAAAGGAGCTGCTGTGTTGTTCTCAGTGTACTCTCAGTCATTAGGTGCACAACAGAACATGCACACAACAACAACAAACAGGAAAAAAATATCTCTTGACCAGCAACCAGGGCAAGAGTTGGCAAACTGTCCAGACCTGTCAACAAGCAACCAAGTGACAATCTTATTTTCCATGTACTTTCTTAAAAGTGGTTGGGCCCAGGCCAGGGTGGCCTCCCTGGCCTAAATACTGCCCCCCTGATAGTGCATATGAGCATATTCCTTTTTAACAGGGTTGGGCTATGCATCTCAAATTGCTAAAGCTAAGAAGGAGCTCAAGAGGTATTTAACCAAGCAGCCTCGCAAGTGTCTTTTTTAAAGTGCTGTGTAGGCTGATAGCACTTCGTTATTTTAAGAAATGATATGAGTAGGAGATAAAAACAGATGAACATAGAGAGAAAGGAACAAAGGGAGCCCGGAAAAGAAAAAGGTTAAGAGGTAGGAAACAGAAATAGAAAGATTTAGAAGTGATTCTGGCAATTAACAGTCCAGCAAAACTAGCTTCAGTACCAGACAAACTGGTTTAAATTCTAGTTAAAACAGAATGATCAGACACATAGATGAACATAATATGTTGGGGAATAATCAACACAGCTTTCATTAAAGGGAAATCATGCCTTGATAATCTATTACAATTCTTTGAGAGGGTCAGAAAACATGGACAAGGTAAGGATAGTTTTTTGACTAGTCTATAGGCATTTCCGCAATCCTCCTTTGAAATATACATTTCAAAGGAGGAATGTGGAACTCTGCGTTCAGCCTGGAGTCAGCGGGACTTCAGGATGCAGGCAGGTGCCTTCTTT